GTTTTTGAGGCGCCTCAAGAGGCAAGCGAGCTCGTGGCAGTGCGGCGAAGGCTCACGGGCAGCGAGGAGAGTTTTGAGTCGACTCAAGAGGCTGATGTTTCACCCACAGCAAGGTCGAGTGGGGGTGAAGGCGAGCTCGTGGCAGTGCGGCGGAAGCTAACAGGCGTCGAGGAGAGCTGCGAGGAAAAAGGCCCGTTTGCGTGCGAGAGCAAGAAGCAGCTGCTGCGAGATCTGCTCCTAGCGCTCGGCCCTGCACTAGAAGAGGAGGCCATTGCAGCGAAGGGTGATGGCGGTGCAGCTGGTGCTGGTGCTGGTGGTGCTGGTGGTGCTGGTGCTGGTGGTGCTGATGGTGCTGGTGGGAGAAGTGGAGGGACTGGGATGGATGGGGGGGAGGGAGAGGAGGGGAAGATGGAACGTGGGGAGGCGGATTCTGGGATTCCGGGGGTGGGGATTTCTACACGGTTTGCGCTGGTGGGGGACTCGCACATGCGAAACTTGTTTTTTGACCTCACGTATTCTCTGCTGCGGGATGAGAGGGTGAAGAATGGGGGGAATGGGGAGAATGGGGTGAGTGGGGTGAATGGGGTGAAAGGGGTGAATGGGACGAATGGGACGCTGGGCGGGCAGTCGAGGTTGGTATTTCGAAAGAACCTTCACGGGCAGATGTGCTCGCTGATCTCGTCCTCTGGGCTGATCCGCGCGTGCCACGAATCTGTGGGCAGCGTTGTACACCCGGCGTATGATGACGTGGCGCGGAACGCTGAGCTGGCGCGTAGCGCTGAGCTGGCAGCGAGGAGGGGGAAGGGGAACGGGGGGAAGGGGGCGGCGAAGGAGAGAGGGGAGTGGGGGAGGGGAACGGAGGAGCGATGGATGGAGATTAGGTATTACTGGGTGGATGGGCTCTACCTCAACGGCCAAGACGGATGCCTGTACGTGATGGGATGGGCTGTAATCTGCTGTGGCCGTCACGTGGCTCGTCTCTTCTCTCCTCTTCTCTTCCCTTCTCTTCCCTTCTCTTTCCTTCCCTTCCCTTCCCTTCTCTCATGCGTCTTGCAACTTGCTTCCCGATGGATGGAGATTCGGTATACTGGGTCTACCTCAACGGGGGCGAGGTGGATGCCTGTACGTGATGGGATGGGCTCAGCTGGTGCATTCCGCATCACGTGGCTCTTCCCTTCTCCTCGCTTCCCTTCCATTCCCTTCCATTCCCTTCCATTCCCTTCCATTCCTTTCCATTCCATTCCCTTCCGTTCCGTTCCCTCCCCTTCCCTTCCCTTCCCTCCCCTTCCCTTCCCTCCCCTCCCCTCCCCTTCCCTCCCCTCCCCTCCCTTCCCCTCCCCTCCCCTCCCCTCCCCTCCCCTCCCCTCTCCTCCCCTCCCTTCCCCTCCCCTCCCCTCCCCTTCCCTCTCCTTCCCTTTCCTTCCTTCGGGCGTTGTTGCAACTTGTTTCTCAGGGTGCCTGTACATGGTGACTCGTCGCTCGGCAATCCCCACCACCCGTTCCCCTTTCCCTCCCTGGCCTTCCCTCCCTGGCCTTCCTTCCTGGCCTTCCCTCCCTGGCCTTCCTTCCTGGCCTTCCCTCCCTGGCCTTCCCTCCCTGGCCTTCCTTCCTGGCCTTCCCTCCCTGGCCTTCCCTCCCCGGCCTTGTCTCTCCCACAACCGGGGGAAGTATCCTGTGCTACTGGCAAACAGTGCTCACTCGAGCCTTGCCATTTGCACCGAGCCTGAGGTTGCATGCAAACGTAGCCTCCTTCCCCCTCATCTCCCCCGTCTCCCCTTGACTTCTCCCCCCCTATCTCGCTCCCTCCTCTGCCCCGTCTTCCCCCCTTCTCCCCCCCTTCTCCTCCCCCTCTTCTCCCCCCCTTCCCCCGGTCCGTCTCCCCGCAGCAACCGGAGCAAGTACTCAGGGAGAGACACGGCATTCCCGGTAATCAGGCCCACGCCAGACGTGCTACTGGCAAACAGCGCGCACTGGAGCTTTACCTTCTGCACCGAGCCTGAGGTTGCATGCCAACATAGCCTCCTTCCCCCTCATCTCCTCGTTCTCCTCCCCTGACTCACCCTTTCCTCTCTCCCTTCTCTGCCCGGTCTTCCCTGCTCCTCCCCTTTCTCTCCCCGTCCTTCTCCCGCTCGCCCTTGCAGCAACCGGGGCAAGTACTCAGGGAGAGACACGGCATTCCCGGTAATCAGGCCCACGCCAGACGTGCTACTGGCAAACAGCGCGCACTGGAGCTTTACCTTCTGCACCGAGCCTGAGGTCGCATATGCTCGGGGCCTCCCTGTGTTCCTAGACTGGCTGAAATCCGTGAGGAATGAGAGCTGGAGCAACAGCAGCAGCGGCGGGAACAGCGGTAGTGGGGGGAACAGCAGCAGCAGCAGCAGCAGCAGCAGCAGCGGAGGCAGCAGCAGTGTGGGAGGTTTGAACACAAGTAGAGCCGCCCGAGGCCGCCCGATTCGCTCGGTGCTCTTTGTGTCGGCTCCTCCCTTCCCGACGGGATTCTCTGCGGCCTTGTGCAACGGCAGAACGAACCAGGCAATAGTCTTTGCGAATCAGCTGGCTAAGAAGCTCGCAGAGAGAGAAGGGATCACGTTTGTGGACCTGTGGCATGTAGCAGCACCGAGGTACTTAGACTCGTGTGCGTATTTCAACCCGCACTATACGTGCGAGTATGATAACGAAGTCACAGGGGAGGTGGGGCATGCAATTACGGAGTCGCTTGCGTGGTCGCTTCAGAGACTGCTTGTGCCTAAGAGGAAGGAGAGTGGGAGGTAGGGGTGTTTCTGAAAAGGATTTCCTGTCTGAGGAAGAACGAAGGTTCGCTAGGTAACTCGAGACATCTGTGACATTCTGCTATGGTATTTGGTGCCACAGTGGAGTAAGCATGACTAGAGAGATGGGATAAAAATCTGCATGCGTTTCTTTTGGAGTGTGGGCGCAAGGTAGTGGGCACTGGTTCATGTGGTTGCCTCTTTTGCATAGCTTATGTTGTAGGAATGGTAGGTGTAACAAGTGCTGTAGGGTATGATAGCACACGCACCCGAGTTGTGAAACAGTGGTGTGGTGGGAGGAACTCACACCAATTAAGAAAGCTTGCTTTCTGTTCTTGCAAAGGCAACGGGCTTCATTACAAGTGCAGTAATACAACATTCTCGTCCAACCATGGCTTATACAAACATACGTACAACTAGGGTGGGTGGGTGGGGAGTGGAACTGCAAAGTTCTGAAATGAAGTCGTGGGTGGAGGCCGAATGGCCTCCAACCTTGGTTATATACTCGGCGAATTGTAATTCGCCGTTGCTTTGCTTCGTTACAGGCAGCTGCGCTTTCACAATATGCATTTTTAGAAAGTGTTAGACACTTGCAAAAAAATGCATACTAAGAAAGCTTGCTTTCTGTTCTTGCAAAGGCAACGGGCTTCATTACAAGTGGGTCTTCTGAGACATGTGCACTTGGGGCATTGAAGACATGGTGATTGTCGTTACGGTTGATGGTCTTGACAAAGTGCCGAAAGAGGCGGCGTTGGCGATCGTAATCTCTATGTCGATGGCGTCCAAAATGTTGTGTGTGCGAAAATTGTTTGTTCCGTTGATGTGGATGACCCTATTTGTTGGTAGAGAAGGATATTGGATGAAAGTGGTGGTTCCCAAACACTACGCGCCCAATTTACGGTGAAACTTCTATCTTGAGGTTCAATTTCCCTGTAGTATGCTGTACTCTACACTTCCAACCGTTTGATGTTCCAGACTACCTAAAGCGTGGATGTATGGGTTTGAATTGGCGACATGTAAGTTAATTAAGAACATACCGTACGATACTTTTCTTCTTGGCACACAAATTTTGTAACCCGAAGGCCCATTCAAGTTCTTAACGAGAAGCACACTTGTGATAGCATGCAGGTCACTTCATGCGCATGCTTTTACTTCGCTGTCGGATGCGATCGAACACAGGGGAATGAGCATGATGGCGAAAACCGATCCATTTCTAACGTAATTGCCCTTATTTGAGGAAGTATTGAATGCGGTGACCGAAGTCAAGTTATATTCCAAATCCATATTGAGTGCACTCCACCAACCGTTTGTAACCAGCTCATTCAAACAGTTGCTTCCTTAGAATTTGGTGGGGCTCCAAATCAGCTTTGATCGGTCGAGAAGTGCTTGCTTCTTCTTCTTCTTCTTCTTCTTCTTCTTCTTCTTCTTCTTCTTCTTCTTCTTCTTCTTCTTCTTCTTCTTCTTCTTCTTCTTCTTCTTCTTCTTCTTCTTCTTCTTCTTCTTCTTCTTCTTCTTCTTCTTCTTCTTCTTCTTCTTCTTCTTCTTCTTCTTCTTCTTCTTCTTCTTCTTCTTCCTTTTTCATAATATATTATCATATACGGTACATCAATAGCCAAGGATGATCCAGCCATACTAACGCACACTGTGTTGGAATTTTAAGCCCATCTTACGGTAAGGCCAACATGGGGCCCTCGGTCCCCTACCCCCCCTGGGGGACGGCTCTCAGGCCACCCGGGGACCCTCGCTCCCCTTCCCCCCCTGGAGGAGGGCTCTCAGGCCACACGGGGACCCTTGGTCCCCTTCCCCCCCTGGGGGACGGCTCTCAAGCCACACGGGGACCCTCGGTCCCCTTCCCCCCCTGGGGGACGGCTCTCAGGCCACACGGGGACCCTCGGTCCCCTTCCCCCCCTGGAGGACGGCTCTCAGGCCACACGGGGACCCTCGGTCCCCTTCCCCCCCGGGGAACCGCTCTCAGGCCACACGGGGACCCCCGGTCCCCTTCCCCCCCTAGGGGACGGCTCTCAGGCCACACGGGGACCCTCGGTCCCCTTCCCCCCCGGGGGACGGCTCTCAGGCCACACGGGGACCCTCGGTCCCCTCCCCCCCCTGGGGGACAGCTCTCAGGCCACACGGGGACCCTCGGTCCCCTTCCCCCCCTGGGGGACGGCTCTCAGGCAACACGGGACCCTCGGTCCCCTTCCCCCCCTGGGGGACGGCTCTCAGGCCACATGAGGACCCTCGGTCCCCTCTTATCATTGGGCGATGTCCATGGGTGCGCGAGCAATTGATCTCGTTGCCAATGTAATGCTCCCGCGCGACTAGTAGAGTCCTTATAAATGTCTTTCCACAACTGTGGTGTTGAGCCCGTTTTTCTGCCACCAACGGAATTGAGGAGCATAGAGATTAATAGAAAATAAATGAAGAGAACATAACGAAAAGAAAACTTAAGAAAAAAGGACTTGCAGCACTTAGGAAACAAACGACGCCCAGCCAAACGACTTAGGCGCTGCAGGGGTAATTTCGTCACTGCCGCGCCAGCGGCCATTTCGTCCCTGGGGCGCGAGTGGCGATTTTGCCACTGCGCACGTGGCAATTTCGCCACATGCGCGCGTGTGGCGATTTCGCCCCTGGTGTGCACGACTTGCGCTAGTGGCGATTTCGTCCCACTCGCACGCCACTGGCGATTTCGTCCCTAGCGCTCGCCACTGGCGCCAGTGGCGATTCCATCAGTAGTTCGTGTCATTGGCAATTTCGTCTCTGGCGCGCATGTTGGCGTTTCGTCCGGCGCACTTCGCGCTCAGTTGAGCGCCCACCAAGTAGAGTCGCACGCGTGATAGTGTCACCCTTCTTGGACAATCAAGCGCATGGGTCGTACTTGTGCGTGAGGCTTAGGGCGACGTCAGGTTGTACAAATCTCACACATTCACAATTCTTATATCGTGGCTCAGGACGGTTCCACACGGTGGAAAGCGGTTTTCACTTTTTACCGTTTTGCACCGTGACGAAACGCAGTCGACCACAGAGAGCGTACGAAGGGTTGTACAACCTGGCATCGCCCTTAACTTAGTAGGTAGTTCTAGTGACTAAGGAAACCTTCGAGGTGGTAGGACGAGAATGGAGTGGAACTGCAAAGTTCTGAAATGAAGTCGTGGGTGGAGGCCGAATGTGTCAGAATCCCAACCACTAGACCATTGGGATAAAAGGGCTTGTTTCAGTAGCGGGTCAGTGCGCGCATAACCCCCCAGGCGAACGCGCCTGTAACCCTCTCCAGGATCAATCGGGCATCCACAGTGCAGATCTACTGACACCCCCCCACACTGGGAGGCCCAGGACTAAGCACAGCGGCAACGGCCTACATGTGCATACACCGGGAATTGAACCCGAGACCACTCTGATACCATGTCAGAATCCCAACCACTAGACCATTGGGATAAAAGGGCTTGTTTCAGTAGCGGGTCAGTGCGCCCATAACTCCCCAGGCGAACGCGCCTGTAACCCTCTCCAGGATCAATTGGGCATCCACAGTGCAGATCTACTGACAGAATGGCCTCCAACCTTGGTTATATACTCGGCGAATTGTAATTCGCCGTTGCTTTGCTTCGTTACATGCAGCTGCGCTTTCACAATATGCATTTTTAGAAAGTGTTACACACTTAAAAAAAAATCCATTTCTTTATACCGTACCTACCTTGACATACGGTAAATGAATCCAGATACGCTAACCTTGAATAGTTCTTCTGATTTGTGCAGTAGCTTACTATAACTCTTGCTTTAACTGCTGATGGTTTACCAACCAACTGAAACCTGAACACGCTGTGCTGCAGAAATAGGACTCCCTACTGTTGGGAACAAGTAATCTAATGCGCCTCTGTCGTGTCGAAAACACTAAGCCGTAAAACGAGACGAAGCACAACGAAGCGTCGGCGAGTCAACCCTCGGAAGTTGAAGCAGCTGGAGGTTACGCGAAAGTCAAAGGTCAGCGACCTTTGACCTGACAAAATATAGTGTGACAGCAAGGACACACAACTGACTCGGTATTGAGCAGTTGCCCGAGTCGTCACTGTATCGAACCGCAACAGCAGCAGTAGAACAGTTATTAACTGTATCTCTTCGTATTCCTTGTACTCTTATATAAAACCTTGTACTTGCTTGTTTTTAGTAACTACTTTGCCCTCACATACTAGCGCAAGGTGTTCACAAAGCCTTATTAAAAAAACGCTTCCGCTATTACATTATTCCTACCCTTGAATTTAGTCCTGCAAAAGATCCTAAGGGCATTTCAGCCCAACATGGTATCAGAGCAGTCAGGATAAAATTCAACTACTAATACCTACAACATCAAGAAGACATGGCTACCCGGAAGGAGAGAAGCTCCTCCAACGGCTCCCCTGGTACTACTCCTACTCCACCTCCTGCCTCTGGCCTACAGACAGAGGAGGGCACAACAACACGACCGGCAGCTGGGTCTACCGAAACGCCCACAAATCAAGGCGCGGGCTTCGATCCAAGCATGATGGAGAAGTTCTTCTCCTTCATGTCCTTCTACGAGCAACACCAGCAAGGGGCACCTGCACAGTCAAACAACAGCAACAACAACAACAACGTTACGCCAATGAGCCTCGACGGCTCATCTTATGCACGAGGAAACCAACATCAACAGCCTACCTTTGCCCCGTATGAACCGCAACGCGGTTCCGTCAGCTTCATGCCGCGCCAGCAACCTGCACATGAACAAGAAAGGACACTGGACGCACTTCAAGTACAATCGCAATTCGCGCACGTTCTGAAACTGCAGACGTCAAGACCATTCGACGGGAAAGACTTCTTTACCTGACGTTCGAGTTCGAGCTGATGATGGTGTGAAACAAGGAAAACAGGAATGAAATGACTATGGAAGATTGGGTACAAATACAACCCTAGAAACCCTGTACCCCATATGTGCTACCCCACTATAGCCTACAGAAACTATGTCATATAAATCTGACACACCCCCATAGGCAAAGTGGGGGAGAACAAGAGGTCACAAGACCAGTCAAGCAAAGCAAAGCAAGCTCAGGGTGGATCACAAAGTCACCACACAGTCCGAGCACAAGAGTAGGGCCAGAGGCCAGTTCACATGCAGGAGTACAGACATATATATAAAACTAGACAAACAAGAGCAGGCATATATATATATGTCACAGTACAAGTGAAGTCAAGAGGAGAGCAAGTGAGGCAAGACAGGCACAAGACCCAGCTGGGTGCAAAAGCGCTGATGGTCACAAGGCGCTAGTGCCTTGGTGAACACATCAGCAGTGTTGGCCTCAGAGGCCACGTACGCAAGTCGCAACTGACCACGCTGCTGCAGCTCACGAGCAAGGAAGTAGCGGAGAGCAATGTGCTTCGTTCTGTGCTCCAAGCGCTGCTCTCGACACAAGGCCAGCATGGCCTTGTTGTCTACGTACAGCACTGGAGGAGAACGAGGCGGCTCTCCAAGGTCAGTCAGCAGGTAGGTGAGCCAGCGAAGCTCCTGTGCAGCCATGGCCCCGGCGTAGATCTCAGCCTCACAACTGGAGCCGAGAACCGAAGACGAGCGAGTAGACCGCCACGAGACAGAGCCGGAACCAAGGCTGAAGGTGTAACCCTGTGACGACCGCTGCGTAGCCTGGTCGTCAGCCCAAGAAGCGTCCGCGTGGCCGGTAAGGACCACTGGACTCCGCCCTCCAAGCACTAGCCCCATGCCCGACGTGCTGCACAGGTAGCGCAATACCCTCTTCGCTGCAGCCATGTGCTCTGGTCTGTGTCTCCCAGGAGCAACATAGCGAGCAAGAATGCTCAGAGGGTATGCAAGGTCAGGTCGTGTGCAGGTCATCAGGTACATGAGGCAGCCAACAAGCTCTGCATACGGGCCACTCGACTCTACGGACTCATCCGAAGGCAGAGCTGAGAGTGAGTGGCGAGTAGGCAGAGGAGTGGCCTGAGGCGAGGAGTACGTGAAGCCGAAGCGCTGAAGGACCTGCTGCACCATGTGTGACTGAGTCAAGGTAATGGTGCGGCGTGCTCTGTCCCGAGTGATCTGCAAGCCAAGGTAGCTGCGCAGTTCACCCAGGTCTGTGCACGTGTGTCTCTTCAGCAGCTCGGACTTCACGTAGGCGAGTCCAGCAGTGTCCGCTGTGGCAAAGACCAAGTCGTCGACGTACACGAGGATGTAGAACGGCGGCAGGGAAGTGTCGGTGCGAAGAAACAGCGACGGGTCAGCAGTAGAAGGAGCAAACCCAAGAGCCGCAAGCGTAGTCCTCAGTGTGTCGTGCCACTCACGCGGTGCCTGACGGAGACCGTAGACTGGCCGTCGGAGGCTCCACTGGGTGCCAGGAGGGAAAGTCCCAGTGAAGCCAAGTGGACGGCGAAGCCAGATCTCCTCGTGCAGGCTACCCTGCAAGAACGCAGTGCTGAAGTCGAGAGAGTGAAGCTCGTAGTCGCGCTGAGCGGCTATGTGCAGCAGCACCCGAAGAGTAGTCATCTTCGGGGTGGGAGAGAAGGTCTGAAAGTAGTCAACTCCCTGCCGCTGACTGAAGCCACGAGCAACGTACCGTGCCTTGAAGACAGGTGGAGAGCCCGGCGGCCGCTTCACCCTGAAGATCCACATGCCACTGACGATGTTCGCCCCAGGAGGGGGAACCGCGTCAACGTAGGTGCCTGTGGACTTCCAGGAAGCCATCTCTGCATCCATAGCTGCCTGCCACTGAGAGGAGTAGGGACCCTCTACGGCCTCCGCGTAAGAACGCGGAGTCGGGATGTCTAGTGCATCCGGGTCTCCCTCAGGGGCAAGCAGTACAGACGCGAGATGAGGTGAAGCAGCCGCTAGACACTGTAACTCCTCCTGCCTGTCCTCTAGGACGTCCGTGCCAAGAGCACACTCACCCCCGACGGACGGAGGACAGACAGACGCAGACTCAGCAAGGACACACAACTGACTCGGTATTGAGCAGTTGCCCGAGTCGTCACTGTATCGAACCGCAACAGCAGTAGTAGAACAGTTATTAACTGTATCTCTTCGTATTCCTTGTACTCTTATATAAAACCTTGTACTTGCTTGTTTTTAGTAACTGCTTTGCCCTCACATACTAGCGCAAGGTGTTCACAAAGCCTTATTAAAAAAACGCTTCCGCTATTACATTATTCCTACCCTTGAATTTAGTCCTGCAAAAGATCCTAAGGGCATTTCAGCCCAACATGGTATCAGAGCAGTCAGG